TACCATGGGAAGGCGGCACATGCTTCTGCGTACCCTTGGGAGGGAGTGAACGCGCTGGATGCTGCTGTGCTGGCCTACAACAACCTCTCTGCTCTGAGACAGCAGCTCAAACCAGAATGGAGGCTTCACGGTGAGTATCAGGTCGAGTCTGTGATAGCTGAGCTTTGAAATTATTTAAAACCCACAACACAGATGTCAATGTACCTTTAGCGGACATGAATGTCCTTGATGTGCATGAGGTAGTAAAAATGTCAAACACATTTCCATCTGCTTAAGAAGAGCAACAATCAGTCAATTAACAGATCGATGGATCAAAAGAAAATTAATCACAACTCTTTCTGTAATATTATAAAAGTGATGTCCTTTAAGGATAAGGGTCTCTGCAGACACAGTCACCACCACACATGTATGGATGCCCATGAGTGACAATTCAGTGGCATTACTTTTGTCTAAGTCTATATTTTATTCACAAAATTTAAGGGTGAAGACCCTCTGTTAGTTTCTGTTAGTGTAATAGTATTTGCATTTTTCAAGAGATGGAAGGTTATAATGTTTTTTTATACTTGGTATTTATGGTGATATATTAGTTATATGACCCACTGTGTAAATGAAATGTGTATTGAAAAATGAAAGCCACATTACTTCAATGTTACCATGGAAACCAAAGTAGTGAAAAGTTTGGTGAGAGGAGCGTCTAGAAAAAGTTATGCAACACATGTTCATGTAGATTTTTAAAAGTCAAAGCGATCCTGTTCCACTTTGTGATGTCCTTTCTATTTTCCTCGTACTCGTCATCTAACAAGGATAACAACCAGATCAAAGTCGGGCAACACATTCTCATCCGCTCTTCACAGGTGGATGTTTTATCGCTCTTGTGGAAATCACAATAACACAACAATTTGGCCTCCTAACCCTTTTATGTACATTGTGATACTTTCCTCCACAACAGGCATCATTAAACATGGCGGGGTGAAGCCCAACATCATCCCTGACTTCACTGAGTTACAGTTTTATCTGCGCACCCCGTTTGCAAAGGATCTTTGTGTCCTGAAGGGAAAGGCTGAGGCTTGCTTCAGGGCGGCCGCAGTCGCCACCGGCTGCAAAGTAAGTCAACATAAAAATATTGTCTTAGCATTTGCTTCCCTGTTTACTGGACACACAGTATATCCCTGGTAAGTAGATTAATACTCCAGTATGGATGTAGGAACAGATCTCGTATGCTGTTGAGATGGGTGGCTGTTATATAACATTGCCCTTTTTAACATTGAGTGTTGATGTTACATAATTCACAGTTATCTTCAGGCTACTTTTCTCCTACATCTGCACTTGCTTCAGGCAGCTTTAGCTCACGTGACAGGACATGCATGGAGCTTCAACAGGCTTTAAATACTGTGTAGGGATCTCTCCCTGCGTCATGGTCTGACATTTTTGTACCCTTTAGGTGGAGATAACGTACCCGGCTCTCGAATACCATAACATTCTGCTAATGCCACACTGCAAACCTGTATGAAAATATGGAAAAGCTTTGGGGATTCAGTTTCCAGAGCAGCCAGCCAACTTTTCTGGTAGGAAATGATTTAATAAAAACAAGTATTAATATTAATTTAAGTCTCTTCCTGGATTGTGTCAGGGAACTTGCAAGAGCAACACTAGAACTTTGATTTATAGTCTTTTTTTAGTTAGTCACTGAATCATCAAAGACTTTTTATCACAGTGATTTCATAATTATCTGGCAGGTTCAACTGACTTTGGCAACATTTCATTCGTTGTTCCTGGGATCCATCCTTTCTTCTACATCTGCACTGATGCGTTTAATCACACGAGGAATACACAGAAGCAGCAGGTATCACAGCATGTTTCTGTTTGGAAGAAAGTAACCTGAACTACACTCAGACATTACCAGCTGTCTGGTCTTTCTAGGTCACTTAGTTTTCCTGTTTAGTTTCTATATACCGAGTTATATACTTTATTTCCCACTCTCTCTCCCCACCCCCCCTTCTGTGTCAGGAGCTGAGAAGGCCCAGTTGTTCACACCTGAGGACAGCCAAAGCTCTGGCTATGACAGCTGTGGATGTAGTTTGCTGTCCTGATCTGCTGAGCCAAGTGAGAGAGGACTTCAGGCTGGCCAAGCTGCAACAGGAGATATGACAAGAAGTCAGCAAAAACAGCTTCGACAGTTCCAAAAATACAATGACTTTGATCATTTCAAGGGTTTTATTGTCTTACTCTGCAGATAACACTGGCATGTTGACAGTTATGATGATCAATGTGCTCTTTTCATAAAAAAAGAAATACATTTAAAATAAATGTTTTATAGCTGACTACTTTGTAATTGATAATGTGATTTTACTTATAGCAACGGAGCCTCTGTGCTTCTACTGATGTCAATATGGGGACCTGTATTTTTAGGTTTTTTGGTACCAGTAAATGATGTTTACATCAAAACCTCAATCCATTTTCTTCGGCTTATCTGAGGTCGAGTCCCATTTGCAACAAGTAAAGTAAGTCAACCCAGACTTCCCTCTCCCTAGCCATGTTATCCAGCTCCTCCTGGGGGATTCCAAGTCGTTCCCAGGCCAGATGGGATATACAATCCCTCCAGCGTGTTCTTGGTCTACCCCGGGGTCTCCTCCCAGATGCCTAGAAAACCTCCAAAGGGAGGCGTCCAGGAGGCATCCTAATCAGATGCCCGAACTCAACTTAACTGGCTCCTTGCGAAGGAGTAGCGGCTCTCCTGTCCTTCAACTACCGCAGAATGTCTGAGCTCCTCACCCTATGGCTGAGTCCAGCCACCTTTTGGAGGAAACTCATTTCAGCCGCTGGTATCTTTGATCTTTTTCTTTCATAGTGAGACCTCAGGGGATAATTCGATTACTGATAAAAATAAAAAAAATAAAAAACATGCAAACTATAAGGAATCATACAGACATAGACATAGATCAAAATTTGAACCTGCCATGCTTTTGATCTGAAAAAAGACCTATGCCAGCGATACAAGAGAGACCATGCTGGTAGCACTCCAACGCCTAATAAGTATATATATATATATATATATATATATATACGTATGTATGTATATATATTATAATATACTGTATCAGAGCCGGGAAACAGGATCATAAGAAGGGACCAAGACTGTCAAGGATTTATGATAGAAATTCTGCCAGATGCCTCAATTGTCAATTGACATAAAGTATATACTATTTTGGAGTTTTCCGTTGATTGTAAACAATGTGTTATTTCATTATTTCCATTTTTTCAAGCAAGATTATTACATTAAGAAGACTTCAGATGAACAGTAATGTGAATGTGTTGTCAGCACCTCAGCTCAGTTACAATAACTTTCATATTTGCAGAAAACAAAAACTTTTATTCCACATTTTCAAGAGTTTCATTTCATATCTCTCTGTTTGGTAATTAAATTGCAAAAACCAACAAGATGTATTTTAAACATATCTTTAGCCCATAAAAGTATAAAATAGTCTGAAGCTGAAAAAGATGATAAAACTAGCAACTAACAGCTCACAGTGAACCTCAAAGCATCGAAACACCAAACAGTGGAGATGAGCTTCAGCTGCATTACAAAAAAAGAAAGAAAGGACATTAAGAAAAAGCAATACCATCATCAGTGTTTGGGACTCACCAAGCATGTTTTTTTTTCTTTTTGTGTGATTTTAATTGACTGCATTTTTTTTTAGCTTTATAACAAATTAAACTTGCAATAAAGGAAGTAGTTTGACAGCACAATAATTTCATTGTTACAAAGATCACAATACAATGAAACATATATTGAATCATAGTTTAACGTGCTGCAAAAACAAAATAATCATTCAAGAAGACAAATAATCTGACTATTGAGTTGTTAAGGGAAAAAAGTTCCACATTTTTTTTAAATCACTTTTATTGGATTTCTTACCGTGTGTGAGATGTGAAGATTAAAACACTTTTTGAAGTGAAGAAGGCTAAATATGAAGCCAGAGCTACTGGGCTAACAGCCTAGCTTAGCACCATGACGGTAAACAGGAGGAAAGAACTGAAAGGCTCTGTCTGAAGAAAGGTTTTTTGAAGGTTTTGTTGGTGAGCCAGGCTAACTGTTTCCCCCCACTTACAGTGTTGTGCTAAGCTAGGCTAGCTAGCTGCTGGCTTTGCCTTTGAATACAACAGACAAATATGACAATTATACCAATCATCTCCTCAAAAATTCCACTAGTAAACAAATAGCCTGAGCTACTAAATACTTTTTAGTTGGCTTCTGATTGTCAAAGAGGGCCTTGAAGTGTCAGAAATCTATTTTCATACATTTATCAGTTCTCAAAACGTGGTCAGTAGGAGTAGAACTGAAATGTTGCCAAACCTGCACAAATACAAAGGGCCGTGTAAAAGCATCTGTCTGTGCAGTTGTCCTCAGTCGACAACATCCAAACGTCTTTCCAGCAACAGCCAGTAGTTACAGTATGACACCACACAGACCAGAGAGTGACAAAATGAGCCAAGATGTCCGTCCTGTACATGGCTCATTTTTCAACTCTTCAGTTTTAAATGGCTGGGTCAAAAAGAAGGCAATGGTCACCAATCTGTTAATGGTCCCCTTGCATCTTATGAGCAGTCACTCTGTATGAAAAGCATCAAATGCAATGTTTGTTTGTTTTCTGCTCTAACGCAGGATCTTTGAGTCACATCATGGACGGCTCTCACCGAGGTACTGCATCCTGCGTTAAAGGTAGATGGACCAATAGATGATGTTAAAGAGGATGTACGCTCCAGGAAACATCCACCTTGAGTATTTGTCTATGGCATGGGTGTCTATCCAAATGTTCACGTAGCCTCTGGATGGCTTCACCTGACCGGTGATCTGCGGGTCGTTAAGTGCCACTTGGGCCAACATTCTTGGCTCCTGGCGCCCGCCGTTCTCGGGCATCCCATAATTCCCTGTTGTGTTCATATCCATTGTCCCGTAACCAGTGATCTGGGGGTCGATCATCATGTCGTCTGGGTTGCCAATGCCACAAGTGCATGGCAGCTAACGAAAAGGAACACAAAGTCATTTTAACACTTTGAAAATCTGCTTATTGTAAACAAACTAAAATGGACAAACTAAAGAGGAATACATTTGTTTCTCAAGTGTTAAGCGTATTTTCTGCAAACTCAGTGCTTGTTAATAACTTTGGCAAGAAACATTTATAGGAAGATGTTTGTGCTGGAAATGCTCCTCAGGGTACGTGGGCAATTTGGCTCCATATGCTGCAGCATTTGGCAGATGAAGAATAGCAGTATAGTACATGAGCTGTAGTCCCAGAAATAATTTGCCATAGCCCCGAGAGCTTAAACAGAGCCAGTTTTGAGAATATTCATCTGCTTATTGGAAAGGAGCATGAATAATTAATGTCTCCATGGGGTTTGAGATATTCTGATGTGTAAAATATCTTAATACAAAATCAGGTCAGCCATGTCCTGTTGTGGCTTAAAGAAGAGTAATCATGTGGCTTTTTGGCTTTTAACTAAAAAGTTTTTCTTCTTTGCAGTGATTACAAAATGTAGTTTTTTTAAATTATCAACAGCAGTGGGCCATTTAAAAGTTAAAAAAATAAAGAATAAAGGGACATTTAAATCAGCCCATAGGGAGATTGTGATCGAATTAAAATGTTAGATATGCATGAAATAAATCGAGAATTAAATCAATTTAAATGATCATTTTTAATAACTTTGAGGAAGATCTGCCCAGACGGCTGAATGTGACGACCATCAGCAGTTTTCTGCTTGCAAGTTCCCCCTGTTAGAAAAATAATTAAGGACAATGGCCTGCAGAATAACTGTAAAGGATATGATGTCCTACGTGTAGCGCCACATGTATTGTGCGCACAATTTGAACGAAACTACATCAAACAGAACTATGAAGTTTTCTGCATAGGGAACCTGTTTTAAATAAATCTTTTATGTAAAAAAGTAGAGTCACAGTGGCTTTTCTTAATTGCAACACGGAAAAAGAAACGGAAACAAACGATTATTGCTTTGTTTTTTGTTTTGTTTTATGGTTTTATACTTTGTCAAAGCGTCTTTGAGTTCTTAGAAAAGCGCTATAAAAATGTCAATGTATTATTATTATTATTATCATTATTATTATTATTATTATTATTATTATTAATAAGAATGTAAACATGATGGAAATTAATTCTTAAGAAAGAAAAGGGTTTTTACCAAAAATTAAAAAACCTGAATTAAGTACAAAGTTGTATTTTTACACTTTTTTGCTCAAATTATGCTCAGAACTACTGCACTTGCTTACACTAATGTTGAAGGGTTTGGTAAAGATAAAACTGATAAACTTAAATCATCACCATGTCACAGAGTAACTTTGTTTTTAACTGTCGTGATCAATAACCACAAGAGGAATAAAAAACATGAAATGACACTCACTCTCTCCCTTAGCTTCCTTTCCTTCCTCTCCTGCACCGTGGAGAGGTAGTTGACTGCTGCGTACTCTATCACCGACAGAAAGACAAATACAAAACTGACCCAGAGGTAAATATCTACTGCCTTGATGTAGGAGACTCGTGGCATGGAGGCGTTGACTCCGGTGATGATGGTGGACATGGTCAGCACTGTGGTGATGCCTGGAGAAAAACCAACAAACAAAATTGGTCATACAGCAATTCTATTTACTCGACTGGAAATGGGTAAACAGCTCGCTGGCTCTGTCAGAGCGTAGCAACATCAGTGTACCAGCATCCTGTTCTTTTACACCTTAAATACTGTTTGTATAATCCAAGCAGAGCATGAAATGCAAAATGTGCTGGTTTATGGGAGGATATGTCCTGGATGGATCATTTGTGAGGTAACAAGCAGATAATTTTTTTACGACCATATTGAGTCGCTTAATAGAACGGAAGAACAGCTAGCCTTGTAACAAAAGCAGACTAGCAACTCTTATACTGACTTATTAATAAAGTGTTGATATTACATTGGTGGGTTCTGAAGGTTATTTTCTAGATTTTTTTGGTACCTCCAGAGACATGCTAGATATTTTCTACTTCTACTCTTTCTACTTCCTCTCTTTATGCCTAGCAAACTAACCAGCCTGTGGAAAATCCCGCTTTCCAGCACCTATACATGTTCATTATAATGTCATATCATTATAGTACAAACAACTATTAGCATTGTAACAGGCCAGTGTGAGACAATTATTTTTGTCCAGCACCAGTAACATCTGGAATCTCAGCTGAATACTTGCAACAACACAAGACAACAACACATTAATAAGCTTTTCTTTGATGATCTTGATGGGCTTTTTTGTGAGTTTTGATGTAGCCGAGCTATTTACTTCCCTGTTATCTTATAGTGCTAGGCTAAGCTAAACGGCTGTTATTCATAGTTTTATAAATATCTCCCTTATATGAGAGTGGCATGATCCTCTCATCTTACTTGAAGGAAATTAAATGAAATTTCTCAAATTACAGGTCACTATGACGAAATCTGTCTGGCCACACCAGTGATACATCCAAAACAATTATGGACAGACATATTACCACTCTGTTGTGTTACTTGTTAAAGTAAAAATATATACATATATATGTATATATACACAGGAATAAAACATATTTTAGATACTTCAATGTTGTAGTAAAAGTGGATATGATTAGTAGAGATAGAAAGGGTAATGAAATTATAGTCATTCCTGTCTGTGTACATGTACACACATACTTTATTTCAGCCCTGAATGAGGTATAGCCCCAGTTTGGTTGCCCATGTCAGAATTTTTTTTAGTTCTGCCCCTGCTTAGTCTCTCCCTTTTTCTAAGGTATTACAGCATTATGTATTTCCCATTATTCTTAAAATCATCTCACTGTTTTGTTTTTGTCCTACCTAGTGGCACCCTGGCAGGGACGGCCCTGCGGTCGATCCAGAAGGACACCCAGGACAGCATGACCATCAGAGTCGCGGGAAAGTAGGTCTGCAGCAGGAAGAAGAAAATGTGGCGCCGCAGGGTGAAGTGGATGTACAAACGATTGTACCAGCCTGGAAGGTAGAAATGTGAGTGTTACACATACATGTTAGTTGCAGATAAAACATACAAACATTGCCTAGGCAAAGGTTCCCTGCTATTGTGACGGGGAGGGATACCAAACAAAATCCCTATTCTGCTTCAGGTGGCACTTCTGAGCTAGAAGTGACTTGCAGTCATAAGAAGGCTGTAGGGATTTCATGGAGGCTTTTCAGCTGCATGCAAGTGGTTGGAAGTAGTTTGACTCCTTTCGTCTCACAGTTAGGATTAAATATGTGTACCTTCTTCTTGGTGTCACTTTCAAGGGATACATGATATCATTTAAGAGGACTTCATACTTTAGTAGGAAAAGGCTTAAAAAGTTAAATGAGATGCATTGAAGTTTGATTCAATTGTGATCTAGTTATTACATGCATGATGCACCAGTTGGGTCAATTTGCATAATCACTTCAGTTTGCTGCTTATATTAAAAGTGCTTGTGTTGTGGATTACTGTACCTGTGCTGCTGTAGAACGCCAGCTTGGTGGTGGTGTGAAATTTCTGGATGAGAAACTGGGACAGAGATATTCTGTCATCGGTGTTGAGGGATTCGTTGCCTTTCTTCCAGTACAACATCAGGTCGTCGTCTGTGTATGCATCTGCAGGGAAAAGAAGTAGAAACAAGTACACCTTGTGTGTATCAGGACAGATGAAGTTTGAACAATGCAGGATGTTACTGTGAACTAAAATTCTGACAAAGAAGATGTACTGAGACAAGACTACAACTCTAAAGCAGTAGCCAATAGCAGCCCCTTGATTCTTCAGTGACCAATAAATCATCTGACGTTTGTCCTTTGGCCTCGCTGTAAGGGGGCTGAATGGACGAGGAGATCTTTCATTTGAAGCGATACGTTATCTTTGTAGCATAGATGCTCAAAAAATGTAATGGCACGATATATATGAAATTTCCACTGAGCAAACTTGACATTTTGGCCTGAGGAGGGCAAAAGAGAACAGAGCATGTGGGTAAAAATTGTTGTAAAGTAGACTACTTTTATCTTGATCGTGGTGTTGTAGATACTCAACATATCTCCTGGCTATCAAGTAATTTAATTTGGATCAAACATGGGGGGGTGATTTAGCACGTTAGCATTGAAAGAAGCTTTGTTATGGCCAGCTGTTGGTCATAGATGTGATAAATCCACTCACAGCTCTCAATCTCCAGGGAGCAGGTTTGGGTGTCCAGAGGGAAGCGGCTAAGGTCCATGTTGCACATGGCGGTGACAGTCACTCTGCACAGGGAAAACAGCAAAACATGAAAAACATGAAAACTACAGGGACATAACTTATCCTTTAAGTGCTGTATTCTTTTCTTAGGGATTAATGACCATAACAGCTGCTTGCAAATGCGTCTCATTGTGTACATTTTTGTTTTTGGCTCAAAGTTCAGACCAATCAGTCCTCTGCCGACATGTTTACCTGAGACTATACAGCACGTTTCCGTCAGGGTAAACCCTCAGCATGACATTATCAGTTGTGGTGTCGTGGATAAACGAGCGCTTGGAGTGGACGAAGAACATGTCAGGAACCCAAATCTTCTTCACCAGGCGACTATCAAAGGTCATGCTCTGGTTGTTGGTGCTCGGGAACGACAGCCGCTCGTCCTTCCAGTAGTGACGCAGGTATAGTGTCATGGTAAAGTCCTATTGGAGGAAAAGAGGGGGGTTAATTACTTGTGGGGCAGGTACAGATTAAGTACTGATAAAACACGAGTACCAGGCCGCCCTCGTTGAGGACAACAGCCTCTGTACATGGGGCGGGCAAACTAACTGCTAGGCCAAGCGGTGCCCGAGTGACTGATCTATTTTAACATAGCATAAATTATTTTACGATTTATAAAAGTAATGCAACAATGTGCGAGTAGCATGTTTCAACTGTGGCTGGTTAAAATGGAACAACTTTATGTACGTTGTATAAAACGTGGTAGTTTCTAAACCAAGGGTTCAGGCCCTCCAAATGTCCACAGGATGAATCTTATGGGCCATGAGATCATCTTTATTCAGACCTTTCTCCAATCTCTATCTCCATGCTAAAATATTCAATCATTTCCATATTCTGAGAAGCTTTGAAAGGTCTCTTCTGTGAGGTAACTTAAGACTTTTAAACGGTGACATTAGGCTCCAACCAGACGAGTGTTTTTCACGAGCTAAAAAGGACATAGGAACTGTTGGTTCAACCTTTAACAGTACATGTGTTTTCTCATGAGCATAAATGATACACAAGAGATGACCATTTCTTTACTGATGATAAAAACCACTTCTGATATAATTTCTACCAAATATCATAGCATTTTACTTTCCAATCACAGCCCGGTTGATCTAAAAATCTGTTTCGGCAGAGAAAAATCTGCATTCAACTGACAGCTTCGACCACTTTTACTTAATGACGCACAATTCCATCTGCAATTAGCTTATTTAATAATGGATAATTTATCTCCAAATGAAACTCCTGACATCACTGACTCAACTCTTTGGAAAGCTGAATGGTATAATGAAACTGAAATTCAAATACATTTCTGTTCTCTCCAACCGAGTGAGTGGAATGTTTTTAAAACCATAACATTTGGAATTTGCAGAAGAAAGATAAATGACTTGCACGACAGAAGCATACAAGCTAACAGAACACTCATAAATCAGAACTAGTACAGGGATGATTTCCACAGACCCGAAAGAAATGTATCAATGTTTACAGAAGTGTTTACAGAGGACATTTACCCCAAAGACGTAACTTAAGTCTTCTCTTACTGGTTTTACTATTTTTATCTTCTTCTACTTCTTACTGTCTTTTATTTATGGTCTTATCTCGTATTTATGCTCATATCTTAATCTCCTCTTGTGTTTTAACTTGGTAATTTCTTATCTTACTTACTTTGTCTATTTATGTTTCGTATTTATAGTTAATTTTTATTTTTATTAATATTATAGTTTTGGGTTTTTTGATCCTTTAACCACTTGTTTTTATTTCTTTTACTGCGCTTACCTTCTCATTGCTTTTTATTTGCTTTTATCTCTTAGTTTCTTACATCTTTTTAAATCTTTGGTCCTCTTGGTCTCAGCTCATGTTGTTGGGTTCTTGTGTTCCTGGGTTCTTATGATGGTTCTTATGATGGTTCTTATGATGGTTCTTATGATGGTTCTTATGCTGGTTGGGTTATATATGTCTGGTTGTGTATCGTGCACTTTGGGTTCTTTTCTGTTGAATTGTTTTTAATTATTTTTGGTATTTTGCATCTGTTATATTCTTACTGTTGTTAATGTTTTTCTGTGTTTGGTTTAGTTTGCTTTGTTCTTGCTGTTTGTCAAAGCACTTTGTAAACCTGTGTTTTTAAAAGGTGCTATATAAATAAAGTTATTATTATTATTATTATTATTATTATTAAGAAGACATTACAAAGGCAATACACATCTCCCCTAACTAGAAAGCCACAGGCCTGATTGTTTCCGTATAGTTTTAATTAACAAAAATGATAATATATTTTATCCATAACACATTTACACAAGTTAAATCAGGAGCATAAAAACAATTATTTAAGAGCAGATAAATAAGAGCAGGCAGAGTTAAAAACACAAGCACAAGAGTACTCAGATAACGTACCTTCTATCATATTAGAAATATTTAAGCACTCTATTACAAACTGTCAACTCCCTGAATCCCTATAATGTGCTGACATCCCCTTGATGCTGAAAAAAAAGATAAGGATCAGACCAGCCCAACATCAAATCCTATGGCTCTCCTCGGCTGTGATCTCAAGGTGTTTATTTTAATCCTGGCCAACAGACTCAATGAGTGTGTTGCTAGCACATCATGATTAAACCGGATTTATTCCAGGAAGAATTTCCTTTTTTAATGTAAGGCGCCTGATGAACATAATGTACTTGAGTCATAACAAAGACTCTAAAATACCTATACTAGCTCCTGATGCTGAAAAGACTTCAATCAGGCCGAGTGGAAATACATTATAACAGTCACAAGGAGTTTAACCAAAACTTGGGTCTAAATACTTCCCCGACAGCCTCTGTGATTGAAAATTGTAACAAGTCACTATCTTTCCCTTCACAACGTTCTTTTTCTGACAGGGCTGTCCTCTGAGTCCATTATTATTTGTGTTCGCCATCAAACCCATGGCTATTAGCATAACAAACCACCCTTCCATTGCTCAATTAATCCAAAGTGGATAATCTTATCTCCCTCTACGCAGATGATTTTATTTTGTTACTCTCCTGCCCTGAAGAGTCCCTGCTAGGAATTCCTAGGAATAGATATCTCCAAAGACCCTAAATTAATGGACAAACTCAATCATTTGAATATGATATAAACACTCAAATCCACCATTGAAATCTGGAGACTGCTACCACTGTCTATGGTCTTTCGAGTTAATGCTACAGGGAGATAACTTATCCTTTAAGTGCTGTATTCTTTTCTTAGGGATTAATGACCATAACAGCTGCTTGCAAATGCGTCTCATTGTGTCAATTTTTGTTTTTGGCTCAAAGTTCAGATCAATCAGTCCTCTGCCAACATGTTTACCTGAGACTATAGAGCACGTTTCCGTCAGGGTAAACCCTCAGCATGACATTATCAGTTGTGGTGTCGTGGATAAACGAGCGCTTGGAGTGGACGAAGAACATGTCAGGAACCCAAATCTTCTTCACCAATCTTCTTCATTGAAATCTGGAGACTGCTACCACTGTCTATGGTCTTTCGAGTTAATGCAACCAAAATGACGGCACTCCCTGAGTTCCTTTACTACTTCCAATATTTACCTATATTCTTGCCAAAAGCCTTTGTTATTCAATTCAATGGGGATTCAAGGGACATGGCATCTCTAAAACGCATATAACTAAGCCAAAGCCCGCCTGTGGCCTTGGTCTCCCTGACTTGGAGTACAATTTTTTGGCTGCAAACTCGAGAGCACTGATGTACTACGCAGGATGTTTATCCTGGTAAAGTCACCTATACAGTACCACATCTTCATGGCTTGCAATTGAACAGGACCTTTGCAAAAACCTGCATCCCCTCTCTTCTCTTTTCACAAACCAAATACCCAGAAACTGTTACAGGTCATGGTTGAAATATCTTAAAGAATTTGGTATCTGAAAATAAAATCTACCCGAAACTTCTGCTTTTACTCCTTTTTCCCCTCTCTTATTGATTATACTTACTCCAGGCTCTGGAAAAATAAAGGCATCATCCATATAGCAGACTGTATATATACTACTATATAATATAATACATTCGCCACCTTTGTTCAGTTGAAGGGAAATTACTCAATTCCAGATGCACATTGGGGCAGATTGAATACTACATCAGCGCTAACATATCAAGCTTCCAGTCAATCCCAACACACATGGAACTCTCCACTCATCTGAACCAGAGCCCTGATTCAAAGCTATTAGTCTCCAGATTTGTTGATGATTTCACAGCATGTTACCCGGTTTCCCAACAGAATCTAAAGGAAGCCTGGGAAAAAGGACTTGGCATTTCAGATGGTAATGAAACCTGGGAAATATACGTGAGATACATTTACAGCTTTCCGTATACTCCAGACACCAACTAACAACATTTAAAGTACTTCATAGGCTTTACTATTCCTTCACTAAAATGTAAGAGTGCACTTTGACCCACTTATTTTGGTCTTGCCCCAAACTAACTATGTTCTGGTCTGGTTATTTTCGATGCTTTTTTGAAGTATACAATTCTGGCATCACACCAGATCCATGCACATCCATTTTGGGCAGAATGCAACATCTCGAAATCTGTCACACTTATAACAAAAGGCAAGACAACATGGCATGGCTGTTGCACAGAGAAACATTTTTGCACTCTGGAAAAATGAAGATGTACCTTTTTTTCGTTTAATCCTGGCAGAAAAGACCAATCTCTTTCACATGGAGAGGGTTCAACCTAGTGTCTCTCTCGGTTGGAGACCTGACTCATTATACTCACCATATCCACCTCAGAGATGGTGTCCAGACTTTCAACCTGAACATCGACACCAACAGGAATTGGAGGACCTGAAAGAAAATCAGAAGCAATAGAAATGCATGACCAATAAAGAAGTGTTGTTTTTCATCATAAATGCTTGATAAACCTGCTGCTTGTGTGGCTGTGACAGTCAACATGACCTTTACAAGGATTTTTGGAACTTTTTTTTGTAATGTGCTTCCAAAAAGAACCACAAATCACATGAATAAAGCTCAAATGTTTGTGCCACGACTTTTTGTCGGTCTGGCTGGGATTCTACTTCTGACCTATTTCTGCCTTTTTACTCATCATCATCATCCTCCAGTAGTACACCAACGCAACAGTGTCACAATAATAGATCAAAGGTGATGCAGTATTGGATGAAATCCATCTCTCTTCCAGCTGAGAAGCTCTTGATGGTGGAAATCAGATGCAGCGAGAGGATGCTGCAAGGGTCACTTGGTTTATTTTCAGCAGCAGATTGTCGTGTGATTACAAGCACTCGAGTTGTAATAAAGCAGCATGCAGTTCTCTGACACAATAATTCCCTTATGGCTGATTCATTTTTTTGTCGTTGAATACAGCTCTCATGTTTGTGGCTGTTTGTCATAAAATACAAAAAGATTAAGAATATATATTTCATTACTATCTTGTAAAAACAAATGCCTGTTTGACTTTATCCCTGCATAATCCTACAGCCCAAACAGCCAACATGAAATCCCTGTAATATACACTGATCCAAAGACATGTATTAACACTCTCGTGATGTAAAGAACTGAGCTGCATTTGGTGACTCAAGCACAGCTTGCATGGATGGTGTCATTAAAATCTCCAAGAGCTTAATGCATACAGGCCCGGAGCAAGGTCCCCTGCACGAATCTTATCCAGCTGCACTTGATGACTGAGCATGCAGCCTCTGTAGCATCCTGGCTGAGTGGAAATCATGTGCAGAGGAAATGTCTGCGCTTAATAAATTAAGAACTCTAATAAAATAAAAAAAATAGTACCGACCTCCAAATGCTGGCCTCATGGTAAAATCATGGTCGTCTATTCTCAGGAGTTGCTCAGACTTTGTCATTGGAGATTTTGTCATGTCTGGACTACGTTTGTAAATTGGACTGCAAGAGAAAAAAAAAAATCCTGTGATGTTCTTGATTTTTAAATTCATTAGCAAAATAATGATAACTAACCAAAGATGAATACAACTTACCCTCCAGGTTTCTGACCTCCACCTCCATCCATGTTGGTTTCTCTTCGCAACCTGTAAACAAGTATGATAAATAAATAAACCAAAGAGCATCCGTTACATAAGGGAAAAGACTTTGCACCTATTATTAAGATGGAGGCAATTAGATTGTTGTGTACTGTTTTACCTTAAATTGTGGTCCTTTTTAATACAAGTTCTTTTATTTTCATCTGCAGAGCTGCAACAAGTCGGACTTAGCTTCATTAGTGGATCCAAAGAAAACTATTCTGCAATCACTTTGATTATCCAATCATCTTTTTACAAGAATAAAAAGCTAAACATTTACTGGTTTCAGCTCCTCAGAGGAGAGGATTTTATTCTACTCTTTGTCGTGTGTGACTCAAAACTGAATTTCTTTTTGGTAATGCGGGTGTTCATCTGACAGAACAGGACTTTTTTTTTTTTTTTTTTCAAAGATTTATTTTTGTGCTTTTTGTGCCTTTAATGCAGAGATAGGACAGTGGATAGAGTCGGAAACCAGGGAGAGAGCGGGGAATGACATGCGGAGGGAGGCCATGGGTGGAAGTGAACCCGGGCCTACCGCTTGAGATGAGAGCCTCAACACATGGGATGCACGCCCTAACCATTGCGCCACCAGCACAGGACATTTGAAGATGTCAGTTTGACTGAAAAAATTTGGACATTTTATTAGGGAATTAATGCTCAACAAGTCAAGAATCAAACTGCTTAAAAGATTCATTTTTCATGAGAATAATTGTTAGTTGCAGCCCAAAATGTTTGATATGATCTATTCTGTTTAGAGTTCAAACAATAATTAAAGTCATAATTTAGGAAACAACAGAAAATTACCCAGCAATTACACTGATAATCAAGATTTTAAGTTATTTTATCAAGAAACAATGCAAATCATTGGCTGGTTCCAGCTTCTCCTAAGAGCAGACTTGATGCCTTTCTTGTCACAGATTCATGCTATCAGCATTCTTCACTATTTTCACATTTGTTTCTGTTTTTGGGATATTTAATAGAATAAAAGATGAATTGAGTGACAATCTGCAGATTATTGAACTACAAAAGGACGTGTTAAGAGTAGGAACAATAATTTGTGTTTTGTTTTGCTCACTTTCTTAGTAGATGTAGCACATCCTGTTACATCACACACATTTGATCTTCAAATAACACAAAGGGTAAAAGAGCCTTTCCTCATCACAGCCTCTTAAGACAAAGCCAGCTCTACATTTTACTCACATTTCATGAGGGCTGTACTATAATAAGGCTGAATTTTCAGGCCAAAGCACAGAGTGTCGGAGAGAGAGAAAAAAAAAGAATTCCAATAGCCCTAAAATGGATTATTAGAGTAGAGCATGTTGTGACACACAGGGCCAAATCCCTGTGACAACCACAGACATGCATTAAGAAAACACCACAGAAGAAGAGCAAGTGGGAGGGGAGAGGTGAAGGGACAACAACAAAAAAAGATAAAAAAAACATGACAATAGCAAAATGAAACAGTCGGAGATGGGTCTTGATGCTCGCTACAGTGTTCTGCAGGGTTCAAAGTGTGCTACTCGTCTGCACCCATCCAGCAGCTGGTTCCTAATCCTCTTGGCAGAAAGGCCTTTCCAATCCCCTTCTATGACTGCCTACAGCACACAGAAGACTGACGACTGTCTGCACACTGCTCTGATCGGTAAGGCCGGATGCCGCCTCTGCTCTGCAGCCATGGACCTGCATGCATGCAATTCTGCAGAGGTTGGGGTCAGGGGTTAAGGCACATATTCCTGCACACTAAGACCATTCTGTACACATTATGCTTGCAAAGGCGAAGAGCAATGACTATAGTAAAATGGTTTAAAGTTCACAGGCTGTATTATAAAACAGATCAACAGGATGTAAGTCTTCTTTTCATGAATTTATGGACTTATCTTGAAACTTAAAACACTGATGTATAGACCTTTGGAAACAATCAGGAACTTGGCTTAAACTCAAGAGCAACAAAAAGAGGAATTTATACACCACCCTTTTCAATCACCATACATATGTAGTAAGACTCTAGAAGAAATACCATTTAATAAGTCATATAAATATCACTTGCACTCCAAAGTTTGAATTCAGTATTTGCCAAAGTTGACTTTGAAGCCTTCTGGAGTGAATTTAGTTAATAGGACGGTTTTCCCATATGCACTGCGGAAATTATCTAGACAGTCTGTGCACCGTGCAGCAGTAACAGTATAGAAACGTCATATTCCCCCGTCCTATTGGCTCGAGGTAAATTCTCCGGAGAATATCCTGTGGCGTTCTCACATCTGCCCACTTGGACTTGCTATGGAAAAAATACTATGGGTCCGGTAGGAGAAACTCTGGGTGAAGTCCGAGTTAAAAATTTGGGTTCACATATACAGCTTCTGTGGGAAATAACCTGAGTTTTTCAGAAGATTTCTGCAAGTGTGAGAGCCTTATAAATGACTCATCTGAACAGAACACAAGGAGGGGTTTAAAGTAATTATTCATTTATTCACAGTTCCCTTCATGTTTAAATGACGTTTTGGTTCCATGCTCTGGTTTAACATCAGTATCGGCCTGTTGATAGACATCGGCCCATCAGCATATAGTGCGACATACACAAATGTCAGAGGCCGATATTATGTTGCATCAATTTAACTGACTGCTGATTCAGAGAAGAGGTTTCAACTGGAGAGGAGAAGTCACCTGTTGTGCAAACTCTGAATTGTTTTCAAGGTCGAACATGAAAGAAAATGTTGTGTTGTGTGGGAGTCGTATTGTCTCTGGGAAAGATCAGCAACACACACTGTTTATAAGACATGTTCCAGTTACATCTCAAGAGGGGACTCTACTAACAACAATTTCAATACAACACATCTCATAGCTCATTTGAAAAAACAAACACAAATAATTATAGTATTAAGAAAAACATCAGTGTAGCTTTTTAAAAATATTTTTAGAAAAAGCCCCAAAACATAACAACATGTCACGATACTAACAAGACAGAATAAAATGATTGTCAGTTTTAACCAACTGTGTAAAAACGTTGTCCTTTTTTATTTATAATTCAATAAAATAAGGGAAATAGCAGGTTAGGTCCAGGCACCTACTATTTGGAGTAAAGAGGGTGCGTGTGACAGAGATAGTCTTACATTGTGAGACATGGGTGGAATTTTATTCTGAATAATGTCAGTACCTAAATATCCGGACTTAGCCACAGGATAATAGGAATACATGTGAGGCAGGGGCTTTAGTTACATCACTTTAGTGACACTATCTATGTGACTTAATGGATGTATGAACCATAAGTTAGTGTTGGTATCCTCGGTAAAAGTATTGTGTATGTTTGACCTCCTCCCTATTCAGCAGTCTTCTTTTGTTCTTGTACTGTCACATGACCTCCTCCCTTGCTTCCATCACAATTACTAAAGCTGCTAAAAGGGGCTGAAAAACGATGGTGCGAATGTGCTCTGGTAAATATGTCAGGACGTGGCAGAATTTTTCAATGATTGGCTGAGAAACATAATGGTAAAACTTACAGGACAGATTCTAGTTTACTGACTTAAAATGTTGCTAGCCAACTGGCTAATGCGATTTGCCTTTGAGCAGCAGAATGTACCAGTGATGAATATATGGGCTGATTTAATCTTAGATGAGTATCACTCATACAGTATGAGTCTGAAGGCTGAAAAATCTGAAGTTAGTCCAGATTTTTAGGTGCATGTATAAGCATTAAAAAAAACCTTGGAACCTCGGAAAAACAAGCAAGATTATTCTTTTCATATAATTTAAGTGTTGTTTTTCTAACCCAAAAATCATCAAGCGAGAACAGAAAAACGATCCCTCGAACCACAAAACATCTGAGGATTTTCCCCTCAGATGGGTTCTTGTGTGGGACTGTGATGTCCTACACAAATCCCCCTTTTCCCGCTCATCATCCTCAAGGCTGCGAGTGGAAGAAAAAATCGGAGTAATGTAGGCTGGTGAAAAAAACTCTCACAACCCACACCAGCAGCCTCCAGACGCTTTTGCAATTTCACACTCAAGAGAGGAGGAGCGGAGTGATGAGAACCAGGGAGAAGAGGAGTTTGACTCCTGCATAAGTATACTGAGAACCCACCCCCCCCCCCTTTCACCCCCTTAAAAAAGAGGAATGAGAGATTTACACTTGATTTGTATTCTTAGGCTGTGTGTGTCAGCAGAGAGAGGAATGTGTGAGCAGACTTTTAACTAGTTAGGGTAAAAGAACAGTGAAGCTCACATTTGATAACAAGGGGATGCTGGTGTTGAGAGATTACAGAGCAGCTGTGAGCCACTAGTGCGCTCTTTCTTTTGAAGATTTTCCACAGATGATTATGGTTGCGCTCCTCTTATACATAATGATCATCTTTATGACCTCAGGGCTGAAAAGGATCAGTTTAAATGAGTGCAATTTCACA